TTAACAAACACAAACACTCACTGTATCAAGAATTTCATAAGCAAATTGACTTGACAATCACAAACACTCAATATGAAGGAAAGACAAGCTCAGAATTTTGCGATCTTTAACAAACACCCAACTGGTCTGACAAAACAGACATTCAGTACCCATGTCTTATCTTAAGTACTTAGCTAACATTAACACACACAGCTAGATTCAGTAAAAAAACGGGCAGCACACTTTTGCATCGCAAATAATATGACAACTGGCCAGACACCATGAGAAGTATATAAAGATGAAAATTCTTGCCTCAGTCATAGGAAATGTAAGTGGTTTACATTGCTACAAGGAGAGCTGGTAAACTGGGGTGTCTTGGGCAAGATTATGCAGTTATGCACTTGCTCTTTTGCAATCCAACAGCTTACCTGAGGAAACTTTGCAGAGCCTACAATGCAAGATGCAAAATTGAGAATGCATGACCTAAAAATGTATATAGACCAGGAAGTTCAGGAAATTTTGAAAATGGAAAACCGATGCAACTATTATTCATGAAACTCTTTGCTGGTCACCAGGAAGTTAAAAAAACTTTGAAAATGCAGCTTGACTACAGCTCCTTCAGACAACACTCTATATCTTTAGATAGAATTGATGTAGGATATATGCTGCAAGACTTTTAAGATCTGATCACAGAAGTCAACAAATAGCAATTTCTCACTGATTATCTCTATTTCTAGATGCTAATGCTAATCAGAGTTAGAATGCTCAAATCTGGAAAAGGTAGATCATCTAGCTACACATTAGAGATGCTATTGCTGTCAGTGACTCAGTGGTTGGATTGTCCAACATCATCATGTTTTTCATAATACTATGATCTCTCTCTTTGGACACAAGGGCAGGGTTTCTGAACTTTTTTTTAGAACAAACATAGCTACCATAAAATCATTCAAAGGCGATAGCTCAGATTTGTCGAATCCAAAAAAACACAAGTACATGACGACCATACCTGTTGGCGAGCACGCCGGAGCTCCTGCTCCAACTGGCTAAGTTTCAGCCTGCTATTCTCAAGTTGTTCAACATAGAGACAGAAAACAGAAACTAAATACAGTCCTCATGCACAAGGAAAATACTATCTACCATCAGGTAGATGAAACTACCTTCTTTCTTAGACGGCTTTTCCTAGCAGCTTCACAGCTTTTCCTATGCCAGAATCAGAAGCTGTCCTAGTTCCAACTGATAAGTAAACAAGCTCAGTATATCTCAAGAATAAAAGTAACATTACTTGAAAGCAAGCTAATTGCTTCTGTTGACACAAGAATGTCATCAGAATGAATTACATCCACATTAGTAATGCACTGACCATCTCTCGTGTTTCTTTCATGCTTTTCTTGGTTGACCTATATCTACGTCAGTCTGTTGCATGATATCTAAAATAAAATCTGCAAATTGGCCTTCAATTAAAAGCCTACCAAGTGTCTCCAAGTTCAACTTTGCTATGGTGTTTCACAAGTGGCAGTAACACCAAAAAAGCAAATTCAACAACATACGACCATATTTAGCTAATACCACACGGCCACACCTAGTTGATGTCTGCAGTTAGATATAAGACATCTCAACCTGAAAATCTAAACACATAAGACCATATTTAGCTAACTTCCTCAGCTACAATCAGAATGGCATGTTAAGTATATCAGCTGAAGATTAGGAGAGAAGTTCAGACTTCAGACTATTGGACTGAGACCTTCAGTATAACAATGAGTGCGTGAGATCCGACCGACGAGGCGGCCGAGATCCAGCGCGACTCGACTGATCTTAACCGGGATGGGTGCGAGCGGAGACATGGATCCGCGGCACGGAGAGGCCTTGTGGTAGGGTCGTGAGCAAGGCACCTTATGGTCGGATTCGGAGGCAGAGGCGAGTGCGAGCAGGGCAGCGATGGTGATGGCGAGGCTGAGCAGGAGATGGCGGCCGCGGCTCCGGCTCGGGCGGAGCGGATCTCGCGCTCGCTCGCATCCTCTGCTCTCCCCGCATCCTTTGGGCGCCCGAGGATGGCCGGCAGCGGTGGTGACGTCGAGGAGGTAGCGGTCGTCCTCGTTGTGCAGGGAGAGCTCGGCAGGGATGAGGGAGGTGAACGTGTCGTCGTCGCCTAACTACGCGGCGCGAAAAATCTCCTTCTCCAGCGAGCGCGAGGTGTAGCGCGAGTGCGATAGGCGGCGATGCCTTCATTTCTCGCGGCAATTCCTTCCTTTATCGTGGCAATTTCTTCCTTTGTCACAGTCACAGGGCCTGCGGCGATGGCGGCGTCTCGCGCTGTTCACGTGCGTGGTTGGAGCGACGGGCGGGGACAAATCACGGGCTTTTCTTTTCTCGCTCACTTCTTTTCTTTTCTCGCTCGTCCGTTGGACAGCGTGGGAGATGTGATCGATCGCATGGAGTGGTAGACGGACAAACCAAGATAATTGTCGCACTAAAATGGTATCCACACTTTATTCTTTTTAGTTGTAGGAGATTACATGTTACAGTTTGGGTGAAGTTTTTTCGTTCTTCTCTGACGCAACATGTTTTCACTTACTCATGCAAAATCAACCTTAGCTTCAGCTTTGAAAGCCCAAGCTTAGTTCCAAATTTGTACGATTACAGTTACAGTTTGGGAGAAGTTTTTTCGTTCCAGAAGTTTTTTCTTTCTTCTCTAAACGCAGCATGTTTCTACCTGTGCTGCAAAATCAGCAATCAGTCTCTTTGTTTGGTCGTATTTAGCTTATAAGACATGGCTTATCAGCCAACGAACAGTATTTTTCTCACACCAAACTAGCTAACAGTACTTTTAGCCATGGCTTATAAGCTAAACCAGCCCAAACGAACAGGACGAATATATCCTAGGCAAATAATAGCCTTGAGATTATTATATATCCAAGAAACGAGCAACGCCGCAAACGAGCGTACAGACAGCTGCCACTCTCTGTATCTACGACATCTCTGGAGAAGCTTTTCTTCTTTCTCGCTGACGCAAAACATTTCTTGCTCTCGTATCCGCATCGTCAACCTCTCGTCGCTGGTGCTACACTGCTACACCCGCTTCCCTCCATCGCCGGCGGCTTTCGCGTACACGCCGGAGTCAGTTCTCAGAATGATGGTGGTGGCGTCCTTGGACACGGAGATGGCCCAGTTGTCCACGTACGACAGCGGGCCGGGCCAGGCCGGATCAGCGGCCGCGTGTCCTCCACGTCACGGTCCTCGTCCTCGCCCTCCGCCTCCTCGTCTTCTACTAGAGATAAGAGGTGAAATACATATTTATTGAAAATTTTAATTTGTAAAATAGGATAAATAAGGAAAAGCTTTAGATATAGATGCATACGTGATCTATTGAATGTGGCAAGTTTTTTATGTTTACGACTTTGAACATGACATAATTTAATAGCATAAAGTATCTATTTTTTATGCAGTCCAACGTAGGTACCCAATGTACCTAAAAAATTACATGCGTACGTGTCCAATGTACGTGAAACTTTATGTTAGTTTGTCACCCAGATAATACTCATACTGTCATATTGAACTAAAACTTACCCACTAAAAATTAGAGCATATCTCCATTAGAAAAATGTACGCTAGAGAACTAGAAACTTTACAAGTCCGTGAACGCAAATGAATGTTGAATTGTTTACCATGCTTAATTTCTTTGGGCATATATACATTGCAACAAACTTGATTATGTCCTAGTCTCTTTGTCAGTAAAGGGAGTACCATAGCATTGTCCTAACCTGATATGTAAAGCTCGTTTTGCACACAGGCTTGTGGAAATTCCACGCGTAGGTGACCATTATGAATGAGTAATGGCCAAATGGGGACCAACTAACTGTATAGAAAATGTTCATTTTGAGTTCACTGTTTGCTGCTCGTGTGTGATCTTTGATTCCAGAATCCGGACATAAGCCTTCTGGACATAGACCCTGTTTGGGACAATTTATTTCAAACACGCTTTGAATCAAAGTTGGATTTCTTCCACAACTATCTTCAATAAGAATCTCAACACAAAGAATCTTACCATTTGGAGACTCTACGGCGGCGTCTTCATCTACAGCGTCGCCTATGCGCTGCTCAAGCTTGAGCCTGCCACCTCCTCTCTAGCGAGTCCTACTCACCGCGCTCCTAATCTACCCCATCATTGTACGCTCCCATAGCCTGCCGCCGCGTGCTCCCATGCCACGCACCATCACACACTCTAATGCCACCGGCGCGCGGATGGGGGCGATTGGCGCGACGTAGATGTAGAGTGTGAGGAGGAGACCCAGTGATGACACGGAGGAAGATCAAGACTGGTGGCGGCAACACAAAGGAATGCGGGGAGGAGGAGCATCGCGCGGAGGACGGAGCTCGGCGGTGTCGCGGTGGTGTGGAGGAAGAGCTCGGCGTTGGGAGGAGCACGAAGAGGAAGAATCTGGACCGTGACGGGAAAACCTAGAGAAGAACCGTGATGAGGAAAAAAACACCCATTTTACGTTGTATTCCCTCCGTCCCAAATTATAAGTCAATTTAACTTTCTTGGAAGTTAAAGTATCTTAAGTTTAACCAAAATTATAGAGACAATTACAAAAATTTATGGCATCAAGTAGGTATACCATGAAAATATAATTAATGGGAATATAATAAAATTTATTTAATATCATAAATATTATTATTTTATTATATAAATTTAGTCACGATTGACCAGAATCTACTCCGAAACGGTATGTTTAGGGACGAGAATCGCTTTTTCTCGCTAAAATCGGACGCAGGAGCTGCCCCCAAACAGGGTGGTTATACACTGACTCGTGACTTCCGAATAGGGCAACTCTAAACTTGTTCACACACTATAGCAGTAGCACCGTGCACAGTACATGCATGCTGCTTGTTATTACAAACTCTATCGGTATAAGTACACATCGACTCCGTTACGGAGTATTAGAGATGGATCGACCGATTCGTTCATCTTCTTCCTGTATGTACATGATTCTCGATGCTAATTTGTCGTCGGTAGGAGTAGCTTAGCAGCTGATGACCTCAGTGAGGAGCTTGTACCGCCGCACCCTGACCCTGTTCACCCGCGCCTTCGTCCCCGCCCGCATCACCTCCTCGTCCTTGCTGCCGCCGCCGGCACCAGTGCTAACAACCTCCTTCTTCCCCGCGGCCGCCACCGGCTGCGGCGTCGTCGTCTTCTCCTCGGCCCTGTGCTTCTTCTTCACCGGGTGGTGTCCGAGCTCCGCGGTCGGCGACCGCGACCTCCTCCTCGGGGAGCACCCCTCGCGGAGCTGCCGCCGCTCCTCGTCCGACGCCGACGCGGTCGTCTTCCGCTTCTCCTCGGGCTCGTTGTTGTCAGCCGCCACCGCCGCCGCAGCAGCGGCAGCTCGGCCGCCCTGTTGTTGGTCGGGCGCCCGCAGGCACCAGTTGCAGCGCCTGTACGCGGCCGCCCTCGGGTACAGGTCGCTGCAGTACCTGTGCTGCAGCCGGGCGCGGCAGCACCTGCACCGGAACAGCTCGCCCGCCAGGCCGTGGTCGCCGCACATGCAGCACACGGCGCCGGCGCTCAGCGCGCCCTCGCCATGGGGAGGAGCAGCCGGCGACGACGCCATGGCGCGCGGTCCTCGCGCGCGCAGGGATTGAGAGTGGTGGATGGAGAAGCTCGCTCGGTCACCGGCTGGCAGTGGTGCCGTGGTGGCTCGGTCCGGTAGCTGTCGACCGTGAGGCACGGGGGAGAGGAGAACGAGAAGAGACGGGGTCTATTTATGCAGCGGAGCGAGAGAGAGACTGAGGACAGAGTAGCGTCATCAGCCAGGGACCCAAGTTTTCTCTCGTAAAAAATAACTCATAACAAAACAGTAGGCTTATAATCCACACAAACGATAAGCAAACAGCTGCCTGACTGCCTGACTCTCCGCCGTGGCGCCGTGCGATCCGGACGGTACGTTTGGTCCGTCTAGCACGGCCGGCCCGGTTTTCGACGTGGACGTCGACACGACACGATTCGGCCCTTCCATCACTGATGCCAAAGTAACGATCATTAGTGCCACATTAATTCCGTCATATCAAGGGGGGAAACGTGCTCGCCGGCTCTTTTCCTGCTTTACATGTGCAATGCATGACGCATCAGATGAGACCGTTTTTCAGCCTGTTTAACCCATGGCATGGATGAGCATGAACCGTGCGTCGCCGTCGAAGTGGCGGCAGGCCGGCGATCAACGGCGCAGAATGTTTCCTCAGGTGGAATCTTTCGGGCACCCGATTGATGAAAATCGTTCGTCTTTTGGCGCGAGTGGAGACCGATGCGTTCGTTCTTGGGAGAGTGCGCATACACTGTTGCTGTTGTTGCAGATCGATAGGCCTCCTGGCTTTTATCTTCGGGCTAAAGATTGGCAGCCTAGAGAGGTACGCACGCACCACGCAGCAACCCCGGCAAGTGCAAGCGCGTGCGGCGTGATGACGATGACGATGACGATGGATGTGCCGTACAAGGCATTGGCGAGAGGCACACGTACGGCACGACTTGGACGACCTGGACTTTTTGCGCGCGTCTTCGGGTCTTTCCTTGCGCTTGCGCGCTACGAGATGACCTTGGCACTACTCCCTACTTTCGCAGGCTATCAGTGTCCTGTTTCACGCCATCTATCTGGTTTAAGCTAGGAGTGGTAGCGAATACGATGCGAAGCGGTGTGAACTGGAGGAACGGTTGCGTTGATTAGACCGATCCCGTCCGCGGCGTCGGGGGCCGGGCCTGAATAACCTATTAGCCCTCATTGTCCAATGTCCACCAGTGCTATAGTAGGCTGCTAGCGCTAGACCGTGCAATGCGTGACGTCACGCTGTCTCAAGACTCCAAAAGTCTACGGACCCGGCAAAGGTGCATGCACTTTTTTTTATATAGAAGAGAGAGATGGGTCGGTCATTTCGTGGGGGGCGACCTGAGTTAACAATGGCCGTGACACTTTCTGAGCAGGGGAGAGGGCGATCTCCCCTCCTTCCTCGTCTCGGCAAAGCGCGGCTGCGGTGCCGCGCGTATGCGCGGCGGCGACGAGCCGACGAAGCTGCGGGGCATTTGCGTCTTCTTATTGGCTTTGGATACATCATCGCATCGCTTGTTTTCGGCCGGAGCGAGCCCCTCCATATTTTTGGCTGATAAATAACGACTCCGCTAATGTATAGTCTATTTGCTTTCCGTGTCGGCAGCTGAGAGATAGACATGCAGTGAAGCAACCACCCCCGAATCACACGGGCATTCTCGTGTAGTTCCTTCACACAAACCAGGCACCCGCCAGGTACCCAGAGATTTATAGCATGATACTAATATACCTGGTGCTCTTGGGTCAGTGACCTCCTTTCCACGGGCAAGTCCGCCATCCTCCTGAACGGGGTCCCTGGAAAATGGATCACCTGCCGCAAAGGCCTCCGTCAGGGTGATCCCATCTCTCCCTATCTCTTCATCATTGTTGCCCACGTCCTCCTCCGCTTGATCCAACACCAAGACGTCCGTGCGGATCTCATGCACCCTATCGTCGACAACTCTCCTGCGCCGGTCCTTCAATATACCGATGATACCCTTATCTTCCTCTGTGCTTCCTCCCGAGCCATCCTAACTGTTAAACACATCTTGCAGGAGTTCGATTTGGCTACTGGACTTTCTATTAATTACCATAAAACTACCTTCCTTCCCGTTGGAGTCGCCCCCGACATTGCTAATAACCTTGCCAGCCTTTTTGGTACTTTCAGTTTCTTCCTTCCCACAAACCTATCTTGGCCTTCCTCTTTCTCCTCGTAAGCTTTCCATCGCTGATTGCCAACCCCTCATTGCTTCCTGTGACAAGTACCTCTCTGGTTGGCGTGCTTCCCTTCTGAACCGTGCCGGGCGCCTTAGGCCCCGTTTAGATTCCAAAAAAATTTGCGCAGTACTCGTCACATCGAATCTTGCGGCACATGCATGGAGTACTAAATGTAGACGAAAAAAAAATTAATTGCACAGTTAGGTGAGAAATCGCGAGACGAAACTTTTGAACCTAATTAGTCCATAATTAGACACTAATAGACAAATACAAACGAAAGTACTACAGTAGCCAAAATCCAAAAAAAATTTGGATCTAAACGGGGCCTTACTCTGTGTGCCAGTGTCCTTAGTGCCCTTCCTCTGGACTGCACAAAAACGGTCATCAAAGCTATTGACCGCCGTCGCCGCGCTTTCTTCTGGACTGGAGATTACTCCTGCCATGGGTACAAGTGTCTTGTGGCCTGGGAACATGTCTGTACCAGCAAGCTTGAAGGCGGGCTTGGTCTGAAAGATCTGGACCTCCAGAACAGGTGCCTTCTAATGAAATTTGTTGACAAAATGTTTTCGGGTGATCCGGCTCCTTGGAAAGATTGGATCATGAGAACTCATACCCCCCTCGATGAGCAGTCCGCGGCTACCTCTTTCCTTTGGAACATTGTCCATGCTGAGCTTGATACCTACCGCTCAATCACCAAGGTTGAAGTCCATAATGGTGTTTCTGCGTCCTTTTTGGAAAGATCATTGGCTACCCAGTGGCCCCATCTTCCTCTCTCACCCTGCTCTTTTCTCCCACACCACTAGGCCTAATGTCTCGGTTTTTGAAGTTTTTCAGAGCAGGTTTGAATTGCATTTGCATCCCCGTCTAACCCGCGCTGCCCAGCAAGAGCGTGCGGACCTTCTTCTTGCCTTGCAGGATGTTCACCTCGACGACTCCAGCGACGTCCGTCTGATGCGCCTCACCGGAAAAAAATTCAGTACCAAAGATGCTTACTCTGCGCTCGCCCCTTCCTCAGGACAAGATGACCAGATCAGTAAGCAAATTTGGGGCTCGGCGGTCCCGAACAAGGTCAAAATTGTTACCTGCTTATATTTCAAAGACAGGCTGAGTTCGTGCGCCAATCTCCTCCAAAAACATGTGCTAGATGATGACATCTGCAGGCGCTGTAACAACAGCGTGGAAGACAGGCAGCATATCTTCTTCGGATGCCCATCTGTTGCTGCGCTCTGGCCGGTGCTGGGACTGACTGCAGTGAGCACATCCTCTGATGACGAAGTCTGGACTCTCCGCCTGCCCCGTAGGCTCGATGCTAAGCTATGGGCTTCAATATTGCTCACCCTCTTGTGGCGCCTCTGGGATGCACGAAATGGAGAAGTATTCCGTGGTGAACAGACGTCGACAGTGAAGATACTCACACGCGTTACTGAGGATCTCGCTGTGTGGAAAAAGCGTCTTGTCTTAAAGAAAGCCGGCACTGCTGATAGCATCCATGCCTGGCAAATGTATCTGAGTGAATGTAAACTCTCTGCCCATGTACCCCCTATGCTCTCTGTAACAACTGTCTAAACTTTGATATTTAATAAAATGTCCAGGTGGGGATCCTCTCCCCCCTTAGTTAACTTTAAAAAAAAATTACGACACTGTTTACGAATTTAGCCAAACATTAAAAAAACATTTTTAATTGGTTTCACAATTATTTTTTGTACTTGCTAATAATTACTGAAATGTAGAAAAATCATGTACCGACCGTTTTCGTTTTCTATATTTTATAATACTATTTTCGGCCTCTTCCAACCTTTTTCACCCCTAATCCGACTGGAACTGAGGCTACGACGGCGAGGAAGCACAGGAGCCACAACCACATATAGGAGTAGTATATCAGAAATACTATTTAGCAGGCGCCTGTTATTATGTTTATCTATCAGTCAACTTCTTGACGCATCGGATTTGCGATCAGTGGCAGAGGTTGATTGTACACTGGTGGGATCAGGCTGCTTTGTCTGTACCCGTTATAATCCAAGCTTCAGTCGCCTGAAGCGGAGACACTCCCGTAGTATATATCAACAGATTGGATAGAGCCACGGGAGGGGTTTTTTTTTTTTTGAGGGGAGCCACGGAGGTTCAAACACATAGCCTCCGGATGGAGCCAATCCAACATTACAACACTGATTACTTACTGCTATGCATCGTAGTGATGTTGAAGGTCATTCTAGGGTGCCTGTAACCTACATGAGATTGAAACAGTTGTTTGCACGAAAGGGTATGGAGTATGTTGTCGACATTTTGTCCAATCTTGTCAAACTTGTCAGCAAGCAAAACTTGATGGGTCCAAATTGCCTAGTCTTCTTCAGCCTTTACCAGTGTGTCTGCTTGGAAAGTTATTTCTTAAACCCCCCACCGCCACCACGTCATCCTTTCTCCACTACTAGTGTGACCAAAGCAGTTCTTAATAATGTTTATAAGTTACACTCCCTTGAACCAGTTGTACGACAGGGACCTAATTTTTGCTAGTTAGCTATGGACAAAGCTCTTTAAATTGCCAGATGTACAATTAACCATGGGTTCCGGTTATCACCATCAGTCGGATGATCAGACTAAGAAGGTGAATCATATCAATAATATATGGAGACGCACATGTCTTTGTTAATGCTTGCCCTTCCAAATGGATTCACTGGTTTTTGTTAGATGAGTTTTGGTACAACTCCGGCCACTATTCAGCTATGGTTGCTCACATTTTCGAGCATTATATGGTTTCCCTTCCCACATTTTGGAAGTTCTGCAACTGACTGAATCTCTGTAGTTGAACTCTTTGCTTGGAT